TTTTTTTATAGAAAGATTACATATGTCTCTGTGTGTGTGTGTGTGTGTGTGTGTGTGTGTGTGTGTGTGTGTGTAGGAGAGAGAGAACTATTAGATATGTTTGAAAATCTAACAGCAGCATCAAATGTAACTGATTTTAAAAGCAAGTATGTCTATATTGTACGGACAATATGTCTGTACCATATTTTTGATTTTCATGGGAATTTATTATTTACAAAAATGTCAAATTTAGCTCTGTCCTACATTTTGCACACAACCCTGTTACCACGTTATTATCCTTCTTCAAATAAAGCTACATTCCACATTTATGGCAAAAACTCATTTATAAGTAACTACAAACCACTGTTTGGTGCTGGACTGAGTCTGAGTGCGTAATTTAGACTATAGGCTATTTGTAAATTTGTCTCCTGTGTTTTTATTATTCTACATTTATTAATAGTTCAAAACCAAAATGAAGATTCCGTCCATTTATCAACCCTAGCAAACTACAAAAAGCCATTAAAGTACCATTTTTGCCTAACATATTATTTTGTTTCTGAATGAAGAAGAGTCCCAGAGGAACATCAGAGACATCTTTGCTGCTGAGAGAGTGAAAGGTAGACTAACAAATTCCATCGCTTCGGTGCTTCTGTTTCTCTGTGGTCTCTCTAATGAAGACTCAAGTAACTCACTCTTTGAAAAGCACAACTGGACTGTTTCTTACATCATAAGAAAGGAAATGGAGAGCACAATCCTTACACTTCAGGATGAAGATAATCTATTTGCTCTCCAGTGTCTGTATGAGCTCCACGATGAGGAGTTTGTGAGGAGAGCTTTAGGAGATCGGGTATCCATGAATCTGTCTAACATTTCTCTGAGGAGCACAGACTGTTGGGTGCTGCTGTACTGTCTTCAGTGCTGGCCACACATCAGATACCTGAACCTCATGTACTGTGATTTAACAGCTGAGAAACTCAAGATTCTTCAGCCAGCACTCTGTATGTGTGAGACTCTGAGGTCAGTATGTTTGCATGGAGAGCAGTTTGTGTGATGTACAGTAAATACTTACCTGTGCATAAGTATGATCATAATTGTTTATATATTGCTGGATTGAGGGGTCATAAGATGAACAACCAAAATGTCCTTTATATTTTGAGATAAAATAGTTAACTGTACTATGAAAACAGCCTCATTAAAGAAAAAAGACCATATTATCGAAGGATAATACACTATATTTATATATAATATACTATATTTGGAAATTTGTGTTTTCATAGAATGTTGTTTACACAGAAAATTTAAAAGTCATGCCAGTAAAAAGGGCCCTTTTAACTCCATAAGTGTGTCTGAGAGAGGGTGAGAATTCCTCTACATAAGCAATAATATAAAATTTAGATCTGAATGATATTTTTTTATTATAGGTTGTCAGTGGACCATCTGCCTGAATTTGGAGATTTGAGCAAGACTCTCTGTGAATTCAAATCATTGAAGGAACTGAAGTACTGTAACTTTTTCATCTCTAAACAGTCATAGTTAATGCTATTTTAAAGTGTTCTATAAATTGTGATTTTTTTTATTTAACTTTTTTTTTAATACCAATATTTAGTGTTTTTGTTCTGACTTGTAGAGTTCAGGAGGATGAATACAGGGGTGAAAGTCCCAGGTGGTCACTTGACCTGTCTGTTGCACAGGAAGATTACCTGTAATTAACTT